GATGAAAATCATTAAAATTAATGAAGCATTTTCAGTTCTTGCGTATTTTTAAGAGCACAAACAATAAAAAATTGATTTTTCAAATATTAGAAAATTATATCTCATATGCTTAAAGAAAACAAAAAAATTTTTAAATCTAAATTATTAAAACTTCTAAGTAAAAACCGCGCTCAAAAGCAGCAGAAATTTCACAAAAAAGATAAATGTAGCAACAAATGAAACGAAGGAAATAAAAATAAAAATATGACCACCGAAGCCGATGTCTTCAGGGGGTACCGGCCCCCGTAGCCATAAAACAAAACCTTTTCTATTGAGGGGGAGGTACTGAGGTATAGGGGTACTGAGGGTGTTACTTAATGCAATTGCCTCCCCCTTAATAGAAAAGATTTTGTTTTATGGCTACCGGGGCCGGTACCCCCTGAAGACGTCGGCTTCGGTGGTCATATTTTTATTTTTATTTCCTTCGTTTCCTTTGTTGCTACATCTCATATGCTTCTCATTTTAACAAAACCAGTGTTTTTATTCTTGTCGAAAATATGCGCAATTTTCATATTCAGCACTGACTGAAGATGGACAGTAGAGTATTTTAAGTCATGAAAAACTATTACAAACCCACAGGAATCATAAAAATAGCATATTATTAGTTATTCGTTAATAGCATATCATTCGTTAGTGACAACAAATCCTTCAACAACAACAAAAAAAAAGCTTTAAATTCAATTTATGTTATTGTGCAACAAAATGGTTTGTTTCGAAAACCATTTATTTTCAAATTATTTTATATTCTGCAAACTATAGATATTTTATAAAAAAATTTATGAATAAAACTCCATTGAACCAGTGGAGATGGAGATGCCTTATTCAATTTTTATTATGACACAAACATTTACAATGTGTATAACCTGTAGTAAATGTTGTTAAACACGAAACAATATTACGTATTAACAGAGCCGAGGTGGCTCAGGAGGTGCTCACCTCCCAATGTGGTGCTCTGAGGTCGAATCCTAATAATTGCTGGTTGCTACGAATTCCTCACCCAGCCCACACTGACCAAAGTGTTGACGTAAAAAAATACCATCAGTGGTAGATCATGGTTTTCGTCCCTTTGCCGTCAGGCTGACAATAGGAGATTTTCGCGGATTTCATCTCCGTGTAACACGAAGGGTGGTTAATTTTATTCAAAATTCCACTACAAAGTAATTTTTTTTCTCCCAATACTTGATTCAAGAGCTCCCTTGCCTCCTAGATCGGGTGTTCAAAAATACTAGGCTACTCATTTGAACATTTGTAGTCGTAAACTCAAATTTTAGTATGCTGTTCAACAACGATTATAAAATATAATGAATTCACATTAACCCAAGCAGTGGTGGCTCAGAGAATAGAGGGTTCGCCTCCCAATCAAGTGACCTGGGTTCTAATCCCAGCTCAGCGACGGCTAGTCTACACGAATTCGCCACCCTGCTCGCTCCAGCCACAGTGCTGGCGTAAAATATACTCAATGGTGAATGGATCACCGGTTAAAATATCCTAACCATCAAGCAAGTCGTCTGAGATTTTCGTGGTTTTCCTCCCCGTTCAATGCGAATGCGAACTAGTTCCATCAAAAAGTACTTCATGAATGCTAGTTTGTCCCTGTCCTTAATCCAGGAGTTCACTTGTCTTCTGGGTTGGATTCAAAATTACAAGCCTATGAAGTTTAGCGTTGAATGATGTTAACTCAGAATTGGGTCTCAGAACTGCGGTCATAAAATTAAGAAAAAAAAATAAAAAGCATACTAGCAGAGAAAAATAGCAATTGCTACATTTCTGGTAAAGAAAACTATAAATCTGATTAATAAAATCAAAATATACGGTATTTAAACCATCCATTTGGAAATTCTTGCGTTCAAATGGTAACAGTTTACCGGAATACTGGTTCTTAAAATTATAGTTCTTATTGCCACACATTTAGTAAACAATACTACTGGATAGTAAATACAGATCAAATAAAGGGTTTTTATTCCATGCTTCTGAGGTCTAAGGCAAGGTCAGCTCTTAGGTAAATTTTATCACATTAATTACAAATGTGAAAACCATATTTTATTGTTAATTTTACTAACGCGCTTCGGTAAAAACTACCGAGTCTTTTGGTGTTCCCATAGAGCCAAAAACGCGGTATATTTTACCATATTCTGGCAATTTCGACCATAATTTTTCTTTCTCAGTGCATTGTAGATGTTTATATATTTAAGTCATATGACGCACTAAAAGAACTTGATAATTTACTCTATAAGACTAATCATGATCTAGTTTTTCAAGCTGTAAAAATCTTTTTTTTCTATTATCAAGACTCCCATTTAAAAATTCGTAATATCATTAACGAAACTACTTGACCGAAACAATAAATTATGTCATTTGTAAAAACATAATGAAACATTCGTGCATGCTGAATTTAAAGCTCGTATAAAATTCTTTCTGGAGGAAATAAATGTCATCGAATTTATATTTACATTAATTGAATTCCATCACATCTCTCATCCTTCTAACGACAGTTTTCCTCTTCCAGTTCCTTTATTAATTCACTTTTATTCGTCAGTTGTCTTTAACACTAATCACCACCTGTAATAACCGACCCAAATAAGTTATTTTTTTGATAACATCATTCATTACATAGAGTCTAGCGATGTTATTCAAAATCGATTCAGTACTAAGTTTAAAAGTGGCCATTAACCTAGAATGTACCAGTTAAACAATCAAGGCTGTCTTACATTTCCTTCGTACTTGATGAGGATGCATAAAATAAATTTAAATTAAACAACATTTACAAATTTATAATAAATGAAATTGATAATAAATAAAAATTATAATTAAAAGTTTAAACTAATGCAAAATATGAATTAAATTTTTGTTTATACCTCCTTAAAATCACCTCAACAGTTATATGTTATGTTTCTAATATATTACACAGTTTAGTGATATTATTCACGATTAATTCGGTACTAAATTTATGTGTAGCCATTAAATTTAGTATATATCAGTTGAACAGCCAAAAATGTATCCAGTTTCAGACGTACTTGATCAGAATACATAAAATAAAATAAATAACACTGAAAATTTATAATAAATAAAATTTTTAATAAACTAAATTTAAGCTAATACAAAATTGTAATTTTTGTTTATACCTATTTAAAATTTACCTCTCTTGTTATAATAAGTTATGCTTCATCATTCATTACATAGTTTAGCGATGTTATTCAAGATTAATTCGGTACTAAATTTATGTGTGGCCATTAAATTAAAATTTATCAGTTAAGCAAACAAGAATGTTCACCGTTTTCTCCGTACTTGATGATAATACATAAAATAAATTTAAATTATATCACATTTAAAATTTATAATACATAAAATCTATAATAAAACAAAATTAAACTAACACGAAATTTGAATTTTTGTTTATATTTTTTTAAAATCCTCTCGGGACAGATATAATAAATTATATTTCAAATATAATCATGAAATTGCATAGTCTTGCGATGTTATTTCAGATTAATTCGATACTGAATTTTTGTGCACCACTAAACAAGAATAAGTCAGTTAAACAACAAAGAATCTTTTCAATTTTTCTTACGTATACTTAATTAGGATACATAAAATAAACCTAACTTGGATTACATCTCTAATTATAATTTTCTTGCGTGTCGAGTTGTACCTCCTTTGGCAACTCATTTTTTTTTACTAATCACTAAACATGCTGTCTGTTTATATGGTCATTTTGTAATTCAAAACCCTTGAAAAAGAAAACAATGTATTCGTGATACTAGTTTCGTGATAAAATTTGCAGTTCAGCATCATCTTAAATATCTTAGAGTTGCTGGAAAGTTCTTTCACTCACCCGAAGGAGGCGAGCCGGGTTCGAATCCCACCGATCGGTCGATTCGAATTCCGCACCCGACTCGCTTCGACCACTGCGCTGACGTAAAATATCCTCAGCGGTAGGTGGATCATGGTCTCGAGTCCCCTTGCTGTCGGGGTAACCGAGGAGGTTTATCAAAAAGTCCTCCACGAAGGCAAATTTCTCAAAAATACTTAACCCAGGTGCTCTCGTCTTCTGAATTGGGTTCAAAATTACAAGGCTACGATGTTGAAAATCGGTAGCGCCGTAAACTCAAAGTTGGGTCAGCTGTTAATTGAAATTAAATAACATTAAAAATAATACATAATTGAATAATTTAAATTTTAGTTGCTATGTTTTTAAATTCATAACGTTTGTTATATTGAATTTTGCAGAAATATGCATCTGATAGCAGAATTTATAATAAAGTGCCTATCAAAGTTATTCAAGATTGATTCAGTATTTAGATTATATATAT